TACATTTGAGTCTATTCTACCAGCCTTCTGTAAAGTAGTGTGAATGTTGCCTAAACTTGCTAGAATGATTCTAAATGGTGTTGCGGGTGACCTGGTTTTCCCTTTAGAAACACTGAGTATGGTGTCACTGTGTATATGAACTCAAATTTTATGACTTCTGAATGTGGGTTGTTTGGGGTTTTCTTGCTGGGCACTGGGTAAATCCTTGCGTGTACAGACTTGAATCTAGAGAGAAACTGTCCTAGAACAGCCTCCTATCTCTGTACTTCCGCACTCTCCTTACCATCACCCTGTCATCTTTTTGCCTGTCTTTCTGTGGGTGTTCTAAACTTCACCTTTAATCGCTTCTTGGGACTTGTTATTTCGATCACTTTATTTTTCATTTCTATGATTTCTTTTCATAACACGCTGCTCTTTACTAACATAACATTATTTTTCATTCCTCCAAAGATTCGACTTCCAGGTTTCCTTTTCATGGGGGGGTCTCCTCCTCTCTCTAGAATGAATTCATATTTATTTCAGTACCGTTGATAGCGTCTTCCCATTTTAGCATTCCCCTTTCTCCAAGTGCATGATGATACTCGGTATGCATTTGGAACTGAAAATAATCTATTTATTGGAAATTCTGTGACTATGATCTGACCTTATTTGAGGAGTAGCTGACTGTTTTACTGGTGAACCCCCCAAATATTATAGTGCCAACATGTGAATTGGAACATTAAACTTATTTAAAGGGAAATTTTTTAAACCTTTGTCTGTCGGAGAGAAAAGATATTTGCTTTTTAAATGTTTGTACATACAGCATCATGGAGTGCTCCATTGTCCAGTATGGCAACTCATGTGGTTGTGGAGGACACTGCACACCCTACTAAGATACATGGAAATAGAAGTATGAAGACAATTTTTTAAAGGTTTAATCCCCCAAAATATATATGTCATTAAAAATTTCTACATTAAGTATTAATATTTTATATGTTAGGTTTTAAATTTAATTTTAACCTTCCTTTATACCTTTTAAGTTGGGCTACTGGAAAACTGCAAATGATGTATTGATTTGACCTGTTCTGGTGGGCCTGTTTTCCGAGCCAGACCTTTCTGACTGCCGACTGATGTAGCAACAAAACCTAGCATTCTCAAATCCTACACAGCTGGGGGAAAGGCTTAACTCTCCTCCTTCTCCACTCCACTAGGACCCCTTCCAAGCAATTCTGAGTTTGTAGCTTTCCTGTCTGAATCCATCAGTAATACCGAAAACTATTTTCTAAAAAAATGTGTTGTATCTCTGTCCCCCTTCCCGTAATCTTCATGACTTTGACTTGTGGTTAGAAAATTCTCCAATATTATCCTAATATATTCAGGAGGAATAAGAGATAGCGTGCTATTTTGAACACACACATACACACACACACACACACACACACACACACACACACAAATAGATTATTCAAATCTAGCAGGCACACTCTGAGTTATATGTCCATGTGTGTCTTGGGCACTGGCGAGAAGAGATCACTATAGATAGTAGAGATTCTTTCTACTCATAACGAATCTCCGACTTTTAAGGGGAAGACGTCAAACTGAAAGTGTCTACTTATATTTCCTTATATTGAAAACAGTAACAGGGCTGTAATAGAAACAGGCTGGCTAAAGAACAAAAGGCATAATTGAAAGGCTTATTTTCTGAAAGGTAGTTCCCAGAAGCCTGGAGAGACTGACTTGGGAAACTGGCGGGTGCAAGAGGAGGTTGGATATGTGGCTTTAGAGCTTGAGACTTGCAGCAGAGCCAACCTGGCAAGGACATTGCAGCCACTCCACTGGGCATGGGATGGGATGACATGGCTTGCTCTGGTCCAGGCTCCAACAACTTGGCTCCTCAAAACTGGCTGCGGCTCTGCCAAAACAAATCCTTCTCTGACCATGCTTCTGTATCTCACCTGCTCCTGAGCCAAAGTCCCTGGAAGGGGTGTCTGGTTACCAGAGCCTAAAGTCATGTGCCAGCAGAAAGAGGGATGGCAGTAGTTAATGCTTTCTGATACTATAATAGGAAGATCTGCCTCTGCATAACATGTATATGGTAGGGAATTGTCCGAATAGGAAAGAAGTTCAGATCCCAAAAGAAACGACAAACATCCGTTGCAGGGCACTAAGCCAATATCAGAACAGCATTTAGCATTAACTTTCTAAAATGTGGATGTTTAGGACACTTGCCATATATATTTTAATTACAGTAATTGCAAAACACAGGGACAAATAAGCTATGTGATCCACAACACTTTATGAACTGAGTAGTGAAAAAAATTAAAATCTGAAAAATTAAGAGTTGACTGTCTTAGTTAAGTGTCTTAATGTAACACCATGACCAAAAGCAAGTTGGGAAAGAAAGGGTTTATTTGGCTTACACTTCCACATCACCATTTATCATCAAGGGAAGTCAGGACAGGAACTCAAGAAAGGCAGGATCCTGGAGATAGGAGCTGATGCAGAGGCCATGGAGGGGTACTGCCAACTGGTTTGCTTCCCATGGCTTGCCCAGCAGCTTTTTTTTTTTTTTTAAATAGAACCCAGGACCACTAGCCCAGTCATAGCACCACCTACCATGGCCTGGGCCCTCCCTATCAATCACTAATTAAGAAAATGCCCTACAGCTGGATCTCATGGGGACATTTTCTCAATTGAGGTTCCCTCCTTTCAGATGACTCTAGCTTTGTGTCAAGTTGACATAGAGCTAGCCAGGACATTTATATTGATTTTTTTTTTAATTCAACAAGAAGTTCTTCTCCAAGATAGTTTAACATTTAACAATATTTGTGGAGCTCATTGAAATAAAGTTTCATTCTAACTGTAAATTGTTAAAAGCGAAATGTTAGAAATTTTCTCCTTAGATAAGATTCCTTCTCTCAACACATCCCCATGAGTTGTAGGTCTGATGGCCCAAAATTCCAAGATCTATATTCACGTGTCTCATCTGTTTTTCGTACTGAATATCACAGTTCCCTCCGCTATTCTTTATATAAATGATATATGAAACTGAATGAAAAAAAAAAACAAATTTTCTTCCATTATACTTAACCTTTTCAACACTTTTGTCATCAAATGTGTAGGGTTTTTTGTTTGTTTTTCCTTACTCTGGCTGATTCTCCAACACTGGCCAAGTATTTTACAATTCAACCCTGGCATTTTCTACCTGGCATTAGTAACCCAAGAGCTTCCCAGTCCTCAAGACTACCCTCAGATTGAGATGTCAACCACACCTGGTGAGTTGCCAAGTCACTCTACCTCTTGCTTATTTGATTACAAATCAGGATTTCTACAGCTAAGCCGGGAACTCAGGGAAGCATCTTCACCATATGTTATAAGGGGTATGATGAAGGATTCAGATACACGCTACATGATCAAGTACTTTCAAAGGTTTAGGAGTGGCCTGAACACAGAGCTGCCTGTGAAGATGCTGGGCAACTCCTTCTCAGTGAGTGTGTGCATATATATTCAGTGGTAACTTTTAAACTTCTGATTCTGGGATTTCATGCCAGCTTCATGAGGTATCAACATGATCACCCTTAATAGTCAGACACGCTCCTCTTCCTGGAGAAGAGGGGGACAGGCTGAAAGTTCTAGACTGCTAATCATGATTGGTCTTTCTGGATCAGTCTCTATCCTGAAACTATCCAGGACTCACAGAGAGCTGTTGTAGAATATTAGCTTAAGATGTGCAGCCGGGCGTTGGTGGCACACGCCTTTAATCCCAGCACTCGGGAGGCAGAGCCAGGTGGATCTCTGTGAGTTCAAGGCCAGCCTGGGCTACCAAGATAGCTCCAGGAAAGGCGCAAGGCTACACAGAGAAACCCTGTCTCGAAAAAAAACCAAAAAAAAAAAAAAAAAAAAAAAATGTGCTACATTTGCTTATGCTGTGGAACATTTGTCTAATGATGCAAAAATGTGTTGCATTCTTTTATATTTCATTTGTTTAACTCTGTGAAGCTGTGTTACTTACCTGTCTAAAACACCTGATTGGTCTAATAAAGAGCTGAATGGACAATATTGAGGGAGGAGAAAGGATGGGTGGAGTTGGTAGGCTGAGAGAATAAACAGATGGAGAAATCTGGGAGGAAAGGAAGAAGAAAAAGCAAGAGAACAAGGAGAGGAGGACTCAAGTGGCCAGCCACCCAGCCACTCAGCCAGCCATGGAGTAAGAATGGAAGTAAGATATACAGAAGTAAGAAAGGTAAAAGCTCAGAGGCAAAATGTAGACAGGATAATTACTTAAGAAAAGGCTGGCAAGAAATAAGCCAAGCTAAGGTTGGGCATTTATAATTAAAAATAAGCTTCCGTGTGTGATTTATTTGGAAGCTGGGTGGCAGGTCCCCAAAAGAATAAATAGTAAAGAGTAAAACCAACAACAACAGAGAGCATCTCATTAGAACAAGAGAAATTCCTATAATTGAGGAAATGAACTTTGAGTTAGGAACCATGGCCAAAGACCAAATAGCAAAATAAGAAAATCCGCTCACCACTGTAGCTCAGAGAATAACAAGGATTTTAGGACCCGTGTTGTTAAAAACTAAGGGAAAAATTAAGTTATAGTGTAGCTGGAAGTTTTTCTGTATCCCACCCAGTCCTGCAGCCACTCCGATCCAAATAAACACACAGAGGTTTATATTATTTTCAAACTATATGGCTTAATGGCTCAGGCTTCTTAGTAGATAGCTCCTACATCTTAAATTAATCCATTTCTATAAATCTATACTTTGTCACGTGGCTTGTGGCTTACCAGTACTTTACATCTTGTTTCTTCTGGCGGGGGCAGCTGGCAGCTCCTCCTCAGCTCTGTTTTTCTCCTTCCCCTCTCTCTAGTTGGAATGTCCTGCCTAACCTTATTCTGCCTCACCATTGGTCAGACAGCTTTATTTATCAACCAATCAGAGCAACACATATTCACAGCATACTGAACGACATTCCACAGCATTATAGTTTGTATTATGTTGCAATATTGTATCACTTGATTCCAAGACACATAGATTTTGTCATCCTCCTCAGAAATGCTTGCCAATGCTACTATTAGAATATAGTACTTAGACTAGTATTAGTAAACGTATTCCTTCAAGGAACTGAAACTCTTACTCATACTTGAAAAAAATTAAAGCTAGAGTATAAAGGTATAGGTAAATCTATAATAGAATACACAAACCATGTAGTCTTCTCTAATTATGAAAGAAATAACTCTAATCTTAGGTAAGCAAGAGTTGATTATCTGCTGACACGTTGAGTAAATGGCTCACATTCCTAGAGAAAGAAAATACAATTTTTACCTTACTCATCTTTATATTTTATGAGAGTAAGAAAATATGTCTACTTTCTTGACTTGGCATTTATCAGCATTTACACACACGCTCTCTCTCTCACATACACACACACACACACACACACACACACACACACACACACACACACACAATTTGCAGCCTTTGAACAGCACTGATTCTACCTACAAACAAACACTGGCTTTCTTTTTTAAGCTCTTGACTTTGGTTTGAGGGATTGGCGCTGTTGAGGATTTTGAATGACACTTAGAAAACAAAACATGGCACTACATATTTTTGCTAAATTATTTTAATCCAACTTTCCCAGATTGTCGAGAACCCAGTGTTGCCTCTAGTCTATATTGCCAAAAGTTTGGAAATGTCATCTTAGACACAGGAGTAAGTAGCCACAAAATTGCTTTTGTAGAATACCCTTTAATTTTATTTTGGAGAGATACAAGTGTAGATAAGGACACTCTGAAAAAGAGATATTTTGGACTGTGGGGCCATCATTATGCAGATAATATTCAGCTTTATTCAGCCATACATCTCTCTTTCTTTTAGCCCAGATGGTAAGATGACTCATCTCTTCCACTGGCCAGCAAAACAAGTGAGAGAGAAGAGGGGCTGTTATAAAGCCGATAAAAAGGATGATGTTTCAGAAGCAGGGGGGAAATATTTCTAGGCAGTGATGATGGTACTTGCTAATACTTTACATTCCTTTTGAGAGTCTCAGCTTGGGTTTCACATTGCCTCCGGGATTCCCGAGGAGTAGTTGTGACCAAGAATTCTTTTTATCTTTGTTGTGTGTATTTACACTATACATGTTTTTAACCTTCAAATGACTTACTTTAGTCATTTCTCCTTGAGAAGCCTGAAGATCACATCACCTAGCAATTTCACGTGGAGTGTATTTCAGTTAAGGACTCTGCTTGGTTGAATGCATAATTCCTTCACTGAAGAACTGGGGGAGAGGTCTCCTGGGGGAAGAACAAAGAGAGAAAATCATTTCATCTGGCTGTCGTAAAGGAAAAAATGGGGAAAGGACAATTTCGTGTCTGCTGTTTGGTAGTCATTGTTATGTGAGGTTGTACAGCAACTGTGTGCAGGGCCTTAGAGAGGTGAAGTCACAGAAAATCTTTCTCTTCCCCCAGCACTGGGGACTGGAACCAGGTCCTTGTACACACTAGGCAAAACCTGTCCCTGAACCATAGCCACGTCCCAGCCCCAGTCACAAGCGACCTTAAATCTTACTTTGTCCCCCAAAGATCTGTAGAAGCCCCTGGTTTCTAGTAAACCAGACTAATCTGTCACTAACCAGAAGTTGAATTTCTAATACAAGTGAGAGTAGAAATAACTAGGTGAGATTTGTGGCATAAATAGATCTCTAAAGTTAACTTCTGGTTCCATTTGCTAATGAAGCCACTATTCTAGGCTCCCAGGATAATTCCAGCTCTGGTATTCCTCATCCTGAGACCTTCTCTAGCTGTGCATTCCTCTGACATTGACTCAGACTCTTTCACCTGGTTATTCAAGGACAGCTCTACACAGTGGAATCCACACTCCTTTCCTGTTGCTGCCTTATAAAGGCTAGTTACAGGTTCCACGCCAGCAAAACTAAATTTGTTCATTAGGATTTTACTACAATTTAGTTGATATGTTTCCCAACATGTCTTTGTCTGGTACAGCAAGGAGCTCCATTGCTTGTCTGTTTATGGTACATTTCCTCTTTTTACGATAATACCTCGGGTTCCCATTGATAAAGAACCCCCTTCCTATTGCCAACAATCTTGGGGGGATTCCTCAGTTAAGTTGCTCATCATATCCCTGGCTAAGCAATGCATACATTACTCAGTGTCAATTAGCACTCTTCTCCTTTTCTCCTTGGAGTTATAATATTGAGCAGCATAAGAACAAAACATTTTTGGAGCTGATTCATCAAGATAGTGGAGTTTGTTAAAAGAGATTGCCAATTATCTCTTGCTTTTTAGATAACTATAGGACAATTATAATCTAGCTATTTCTAAGAAATAGAGTCACCTTTACAGTTCCCAGGAAGAATGTAGCCCCATTGACAACTTGATATTTACACAGTGGCATTGTCTTAGGGTTTCCTAGTGCTGTGAAAAGACACCATGACCATGACAACTCTTATAAGGAAAACATTTAATTGAGGGAGCTTGCTTACAGTTTAAAAGGTTCAGTCCATTATCATCATGGTGGGGAGCATGGCGGCATACAGGCAGATGTGGTACTAGAGGAATAGTTGTGAGTCCTACAGCTTGCCGGCAACAGGAAGTTGACTGACAGTCACACTGAGGGAAGCTTGAGCAAGAGACCTCAAAGCCTGCCTTCACAGTGACACACTTCCTCCAACAAGGCCACACCCACTCCAACAAAGCCACACCTCCTAATAGTGCTACTCCTTATGAGATTATGGGGACCAATAACATTCTAACTACCATAAGCATCTGTTTTGGATTTCTGACCTGTAAAACTTTGAGTCAGGGCTTGGAATATAGCCTAGGGGTAAAGTGTGTGCCTAGCATGCATGAGACCCTGGATTCAATTCCCCAAATCACAAGTAAGCTCAGGAAGATAATTTAGGTATATTGTTTCAAGCCACTAAGTTTGTGATAATTTTTTAAAGCAGCGACAAATAACTAATACAGTCTCATACAACATGACTGCATAAATCCTATGTATTCTTCATTCCACCTGTCCACAAAGGCTTTCATCTTTATTTTTGTTTTATTTATTTTTAATTATTTTCCTTATTTTTATTTATGTGCTCCCCCACCGTGTGTGTGTGTGTGTGTGTGTGTGTGTGTGTGTGTGTGTGAATACATGCTCTGTGTGTGGGTTAAGGAGGCCAAAAGAGGGCATTGGATGCCCTTGGATCTGGAGTTATAGGTATTAATAAGCCATCCAATATGGATGAGTGGAATTTAACTCTAGTCCTCTGGAAGAGAAATAAGTGCTCTTAAGTGTCTTCATCTTTATTTTCAAATCATGAAATATTGGAAATGTCTATGAGCTTCAAGAAAAATTTACTGTGACCAGTTTTGTTAACTTTGTTATTTTTTTTTTTTGAGTAAAAAATGTTTAAAGCATTTTTGTTAAATTTAGGATATTTTCAGTATTTTTAAACTAATAAAACTAACTGATATTAACTACCTTAAATATAATTTTCTTGATGTCAATGTCTTCCCAACTCACCATAGATGTGTCTTTTAACTTGAATTATTATAATTCAATTATTTATATATGAATAAATTATAATTTTCTTTCCCACATTTCAGAATGTATGTATCCATGTATAGTTCCATAAAATCATTCAACTTACTTTAATTCACTGAAAGTTATGTTTTTTTAATTTTATCTGTATGAAATATGTAAATGCAATATCTTTCTTCTAATTTTAAGATCTAGAAGTGGATAAAGAGCAGCAACAAAGCCCTTCAAAAGAGAGTAACTTACAACTAGTTAAAAGTGTCCTTCCTTCTACAATAGCCCAGAGTGGATAATGCAGGGCTGTTCTACTATCTTCACATGTGGTTTTTATCTGAAGAATACACGTCTCTTCTATGTCTTTCATTTATTCCCCAGCACGACAAGAAAAAGGATAAGAATAACATAATCTCATCCTTCACTGGCACGACATCGCTTCAGTTCCCACTGCACTGCCAAACTTAATCACTAAATCATGCCAGCTGCAAAGAAGGTAGAGCATATGATCCCCAGCCAGGCAGCATGAACCGTGGAGGACAGGGAATTTATGTTACTGACAGAGGAAGCCGCAGGATTTAGGTCTCGGGAAAATGGACATCGTGGTCAGAAATGCAACAAGGACAGAGAAGATCTGAATATTACTAACCTACTGAATCTGGCTGAAAGTTATAAAGCATTCCACTTAGCATTACCAGAACATGTTTCTTTTGATGTGCACAAGCATTTATTCTGATAGACCTGATGCTGAGTCATAAAATAACTTTAACAAGGTACAAGAAGTGAAATCATGCAAAACATAGTCTCTGACCTTAAGAGAATTCAACTAGAAGCCGGGAAGAGAAAAACATCAGGATAAGGTTCAAACATTTGGAATTTATAATGGGCTTCTAAATAATCTACCAGTCAATGAATAAGGTTCAAGATGAATAAAAATATTGATCTGAATAGAAATGAACGTGTAAGTTATGAAGATCTATGAGACACAGCTACAGTAATACAGAATGAAAATCTATACTTAAAAGTACTTACAGGGGAAAGGAGGGACCAAAAGAGGTTGAGAGGCTGGGTGGTGGTGGTGCTTGCCTTTAATCTCAGCACTCGGGAGGCAGAGGCAGGTGAATCTCTGTGAGTTCGAGGCCAGCCTGGTCTACAAAGCGAGTTCCATGAAAGGCGCAAAGCTACACAGAGAAACCATGTCTCGAAAAACCAAAAAAAAAAAAAAAAAAAAGTGGTTGAGTGCACTTCTGCTTTCTCAGTGGACAGAGTTCAGGTCCCAGCACCATATCAGGCAACTCACAACCACCTCTAAGTCCAGTTCCAGGGGATCCAGGACACAGTGCGCGCACACACACACACACACACACACAAGCACATATCAATAAATAATATAATAAATGTATAAAAATTGTTAAGTTAAAAAACAAACAAAATCAAGAAATAAAAAATAAAAATAAATTGGGGGCAAGAACAAAGAAATTTAAGATTTACAAAATAGACAAACTGAAAGCATACAATAAATAAATAAATAAAATCCATTTTTAAAAAGTTGTTTGGAAAAGGCCAGTGAGAGTGATGGATTTCAGCCAAGAATAATGATACACAGAGGGGTCCCTAATTCCAGCATCAGGAACTCAACAGGGAGCAGCATCATAGATCCTTCACAACTTAAAAAGATAATCATCCTTATAAAAATCCCATATTCACAAGTTAAATAGCTTAGGTAAAATGTAAAAATGTCTGAAAACCACAAGATGAAGTGTAAAATACAATGGCATTTTAGTCAAGTATGGACCACATCTATGACACTGGTTCCAGAAAATTGTAATGAAATTGAAAAACTAGGCTAGGAGAAGTGTGGCTGTAGTAAAGTCATTGCCCAAGGCGGACATTGACGGTTAGGCTGGTGTCCGCAAGCCAGGCGTTCTGCCCATCGTGTGAAGGAGCTAGCACATGTAATTATTATTCACAGTGCATGATAGGTGTATAGAGTTACTATACTTCCAGTCTGTCTGAGAGGCTGTGTCTTCTATGTATGAAATATCTTCTGTAAAATAGTACACTGTATAATGTTGTATAGCCTCATATATTTTGTCCTTACCATGTTTCTCTTTTTTAACTGATTAGAAATGGCTAATTCTACAACTTGGGAAGGGAATGTACAAAACATCTTTAGACCACTGGTAATGCTAAAAAAAAAAAAAAAAGGAAGTACTAGCACACATACTCAGAACCTTTGGTGAAGGCGTGTCAATGAATACAGGAGCCGATTCAAAGGAGCTCCTAATGCCTGAACTTGCAAGAATTTGAGCAAAAACTAAGTATCATTGGTATCATTGGTTTATTGCCAAAAGTATAAGATAAATATTCACAAGTCTATAGTGATATAAATAAATGATTGAACATGACAGCTGGGGAAGAATAATTTCATTTTTGGTTTTTTGAGACATGGTTTCTCTGTGTAGTTTTGGTGCCTATCCTGGATCTCACTCTGTAGTCCAGGCTGGCCTCAAACTCAGAGATCCACCTGGCTCTGTCTCCTGAGTGCTGAGATTAGAGACGTGCGCCACCGCTGCCTGATTGTAGAATTTCTTTGTAGAGGAATTTCAAATAGTTCATCAACTACTCCTTCTCCAAGGATACAGAGCATAATTCTCATCTCATGAACATGGGTTTACATAGGCATGTCCTTTCAAACAGCAAGGTATGGAAAGTGGTAAGAATATAGTGACTTTTGTAGTAGAGACATGTGACGAACACTACCTTAGCAGTGTGTTCAAGGACACCATCGACACTCCTGAGTCATTTGTTGGTAGAATGCTCACTTGAGGTAATGCACTGAAAACGGTGTTCTTTCTATGGGGCTTTCCTCCCCTAAACTCGTAATCTCACTCTTACAATGTGGAAACTGTCAGGTAAAGGCCCACGGCAGAGGGGCGCTTTTGAGGGCCTCAGGAGCAGGTAGTCTGAGAAACGACAGTCAGGAGGAGACATGGAGACACAGCTGGAATGTTTGGTGGCTCCCTGGCTTGTCATCTTAGTACAGGAAGAAGGAAATCTGGTAAAAACGATGGAAATCTGGGTGGATGACAGGCTTCATTCAAGGTGTCACATAGACTTCTAGTGATAACAAATAGACCACCATAATAATGTAAGATTTCAATAGGAACTCTTCGGGCTACCAGAGCTTTCCTGTAAGTCTAAAATTGTTGTAAAAGTGTAGTTTTTAAAATTTGAATGAAATAAAAAATAGAGGTTTAAGAAGTAATTAGAAAAAACGAGGGAAAAAAAAAACAACCAGAAACATGAAACACTGTGAAAAACACACAAGCAACGAAACTGATTTTTAAATTTCCTGAAAAGTGATTTCACGTTTAGAGAAATGCAAAGAGAAAAGTTTATGTTTGTCGTTCCAAAACATTTTTCCCGTCTTAAAGACAGGAGTCCCCTCTGTTGAAAATCTGCTCTCCCATTGCATTTTAGTAGAAAGTTTGATCACAAACCGTGGACATCTACTAAGTCCTCGGTTATTAGTAGCTAGCAGCTTGTTATTGGCCTGTGGCAAAAACCTGCATTTGAGGAAATTTCAATTCATGGGCAACCTAAAGTTAAAAGTTGGCCCACTCGTTTGACTGGGAAATTGGAAAGAAGGGAATAGTCACTGAAGGGAATAGTGGAGGAGGCTTTGCTGGGAGGGGAGTGTGATGAACACCACACACAGACGGATTTATGGGGCTTTATTGGGTTAGGACCAGGATATAGGCTACAGATCTGGAGAGAGGCATGCTCACCTCTGCTTTACATTTTCATTCTTTATCAGTGTCAGTGTGTTTAATTTCTAAGTAAGCCACTAGAAAACCTTTCTCCCATAAACTTTGAACACAAAGGGAATAACATAGCCCATGAAAAGTCATCTGAGTCATATTCACCGTCTAGATTTCCTTGGTGTTCTGACAGGAATCTGTAAACAGCCCCTTTCCATTATGACTCTGAAGGCTCGTTAAACTGTTTCTTATGCAGGAGAATCTTCCCGGCTCATATCTGGTAATTGTGTTCCTTTTACAGTCGGAATCTAACAATGCAATGTGTTTCCTTTGTTTTTAACTTCTTGAGGCCCACCTGTATATGCAGTTCTCAAAATATCCTGTATCTAGCTTCTGGCACCACAGCATTTTCCATTCGTTGCCATGTGGAGAAACACTTGTAAGGAACTGACAGATGATAGCCGTAGAAGTTTCTCTTTGTTATGAGAAGCAATGGACAGGTGCAAACATGTTGGATTACCAAGTTAAATGAAGTAGAAGAGACACAGCCCTAGAGTAATCAAAGCCTTCATGTACACAGTGCTTTGGATCATCCATCATGTTTTCTGTGATCTGGCTGATTTTTAAGAGTTGATGCATTTTTTTCATAACTATGCAGGGATGATCTTCATTGGATGAAGATGAACTTATTTGAGAATAAATAGCTCGTAGTCTAATCTCATTTGGGGAGCCCACAGCTGTGTCTCAGAGCAAACCCCAAACATCAGCTGTGCCAGAAGAGTCATATTATTACCAGTTATGATTCATCCAGAGACTAATGCGTGGACACATCTTCTTCCTTTCTTGAACTTTTCCTATAAGAAGTATTGATAAATCTCAATTATGTCTCAAGTAGCCAATATTTAAAATTATAAAACGTCATAACTCCTTGCAAGTTTACATTTGGACCACTTGCCACATTAACTCCACTCTCACATGGCCCTTATTTTATCTAAGTTCTTTCCAGCTCACTGCGTGCTAGCTATATGCAATAGCTTGTCTGCCACAGGTCTCTGCAAAGAACAGCTTCCTTTATTTTCTTCTTCTTCTGACTCTGGAGAAGAACCTAGGCTAGAGTGGAAACCAAGCTCTGGGTGTGCATAATAGTGACTGGCTGTGTGTTTACGCCCGGTATCAGCTGGGCAACTCCCCGGGGGAGCCCTGAGTGAAGGAGCGACTTCCATGTTTATGCCACAAAAGAGCTAAAACTTATAAAGCAGTTCACTCAAGTTCCCACTCTCTCGATTCATCCGAAAGACATTTTGAGCCTTCCCATATCCTTACTCACAGCTCATACATATTTTTATGATCTTTTTAAGGTCAGGTTTATTTCTCAATGCTTTTCTTAAAAAGCATCATTAAAAACAGAAACAAAAAACACAGGAAATACAAGAAACGGGTGGAAATACAACCAAACCAGAAATCCTTACCATATCCCTCTCAATTTAGTACAAAGGAAATGGAAAAAAAAATAGAACAAGAATGTTGTGGGCTAAGGGGATGGCTCAGTGGGTAGAGGTGCTTGTCACTGGACTTGATGGCCTGAGTTCAAAGCCTGGGTCCCGCACAGCAGAGGTAGAGAAGTGACTCACGCAAGATTTCCTCTGACCTCCGCATCCTCACTGTGAGGCTTGCACTCTTCCTTCCAGCTAAATAAATGTAAAATAAAAAGTTTAAAAAGAACAGTTAAGTCATAAGATTGCAATCAATAAGGCATGCCCTACAAATATATTAAATGGTACGGTAGGGAATACAGCTTATCAGATGGGTGTTATATATCAGATGTGCAGAACACATTCATGAAAGTTGATCATACACACTCCAACCATCCAGAGAATAGAAATAACGAAAACAGCACTTTCTAAACACAAAGCAATAGTTAGAAATGAATAAAGGTCTTCTAAAGGCCCACCCATATGAACATTTTCCCTCTAGTTCTGTGTATTGAACCAGGAGCCATGTATGTGCAAACACTCTCCCACTGAGCGACAGCCTTTATGTTTTTAACAATTAGACTTCATTAAATAATTCTTAGATCAAAGGAATAGTTAAAAGCATAAATTTCTCTCAAAGGAAAAATAAATTCAAATAGTACAATAATAACATGTGTATGCACATTCTTG